CAAACATGAAGTAACGAATAAAGTTCAGAAGTGTCTTTATTGTAGAAGGGACTGGAAAATTGGAGTATTATGCTCACAAAAAGTAAGGAGAGAACTTAAATTTTTAACGAAGGAGATGAAGGTAGATTAGAGAAGTTGTCAGCTGGCACTGCATCTACATCATAAACTGAATTAGTGATACTAGGCTGGGATATCTTGCCTTTGTACCGCACTTGTACGCCCTAACAACCAATTCTCCTGCCTCTTACGTAAATGTTGCTTGAGATTTGGCATAAGGCGCTTATAAATATCGATGTATTAAATGTTTGCCAGAATCAAATGATGAGCGTACAGAAGCTTCAAGGAGTTCTCAAAGACTTTATGTTTATTAGCAGATTTCTCATTAAGTGACAAATAACTTCCCTTTCCTTTCTCACGACATTTTGTAGGTATATTCAGTTCGACATATAGCCATGTTCCCTGCTCAGTTTGGTACTTATTTGTGATTCTGGAAGCAATCAATTTACATACGTCGATCCATTTGTGACGATGATTTCAATGACCAACAAAACACGAGATGAAATTGCTACGCAATTACAAGTGATCAGAGTCTAAATACATTCACTCCCTCGGTAGCTGATTTCATTATCATCTGTATGAGTGGCGGAAGGAAGATGATGGGCAACAGAAGGGCAGCAGTAATGCCATATGTAGGTAATGTCGGGAACTAGGTTGTGATCTGTTAGGAATTGCAGAGGATGGTCCGTATTATTTAATCTGGGACCGGCAAATCCTCTTCGCCCACTTGAGCGGCCATTTTTGAATGTTGACTTAGTACCTTTTCACTGAGCTCCCAAGATAGAAAAACGACATCTAGTAAAAAGGTCAATCAACTGATGAAACAATTCATCATTAACTGCATCTAGTCCGTAGTCAGTCAAGGAATAGGCAGTGGTGACGAAAAAACATCGTTTCTCTTGTCAATTATTGCTCACTCTAATAGAAAATTTCAGCCTAAAAACCTACAAACGACTGCCAACAAGGATCCAATCGACAAGTTCAGCTTCGGTTGTGATACTAAATGCAACATTAGTACTAGCGAGTTGAACATGCCACAGAGTTTTTCGTACGTGCTGGTAGATCAAGAAGCTGTTTAAAGCGCTTCAATGGAACACTGTATGCAGGTTGCACAGGTACAGTAAACATTAGTAAGATTCTTAATTAGTATTTCAATTACTTTCATTAATCGTGAATTGACGTCATCACATAGTACCGCGTATAACTGTTTCACAAGTGCTAGCTGCAGCACTTGAACGTTATGGGTGCAATTGAAAACAAACGGATGATAGAAAAGCGTACAAAAAGCCAAAATTAGAAATCAAAAAATGATTTAGTGTATAATGGTATGTTTACAGTGAAAAGTTAGACATTACTCCTATCACATCCAAATTGTCGATGCATCTAGGAAAACGTTATACAGAGTTGAGCATTAAAAGAAAATTTACTGCAGACACCAACTGGTTATCTGGATGTAGTTTAAAGCTTAAGTAAGTATCTGAATACATAAATTTTGAAGGTCATAAGCTATTATGAAACTGCATGTTATTTCTAATAGATATTACGATAAACTCACAAACTTCTGGACATGTTAAAAAAAATACTACTGTTTCTAATCCAATTCGATTATTCATATTACTTTACACCGATTGCCTCGTTACACAATGTTGGCTGGCTGTGGTGGGTCGAGGCTGGAAAAAAGCTCGAGGTGGCCAGACTAAAACATGGCACCAATGTATGAAGTCTCTGACTGTTGGTCTGAGCCATGTAAGACGATGCAGACTAGGTGGTTGGGGTCCACGGGACAAGAGGAACCAGTGGTTGGAGACTCTAGGGGATATGGCTCAGAACCAATGTCAGTGGCGCAGATGTATACACACATTATCCTCATCTTAACTACACTATACCGAATCTCACCATTTTGTCACTCCTCTTTCCTTTCTTTTCGTACTTCATATTTCCTTTGACTGCATTCTCTTATCTTCATCCTTCATCTCACTACCTTTCTACTTGATGTAGTGATATGAGGTGTGGCAACTCGGACCGTTACGCAGTAATGCCTGGTCCTATGTTGATAATGATTGATTGACACATGATTTTCGAAAATCAGTAGCATACAATTCATTGATATTCGGTACTGACCTTTATATTTTTAACGGTTTTTTTTATCGTAAGATATAAATGGAGACCGAAACATTCATATTATTTAACACTCCATGTTATGTTGCATCTCTAGTACACAACTCATGGCTAGGTAGTCAATACATACATGTCGGTTTGTTGGCACGATTCCTCAAATATACTTTATATCTTGTACAATCCATCTTCTGTTCTTTCTTGATCTCAAACAAATGCAAATAATTGTCGCTTAGTATCTGCATCTTCCAAGATTGTATTGACAGTTTTATCGAGATTATTTCACCTATTTTACAAACGTTTTATTTCATCACAAATGACTGTACTTTAATTTTACCTCTGATTAGTCGCTTAGACGATGCTAAGACTTGGTAATCTTACCAAAATATCTTATTTTTAGGTGTGGTAGGTGGATTTCTATGAAGTCATTGTATAAATGACAATGCCTTTTTCCTATCAACTCTAAAATTACTCACTTTCATTTCATGTTTTAGGACTTTATGTAGGAGAATTGCAATCTACTCACGTCAACTTACGTTATTATTATTATTTTTCCCTTAGGTTCCTAATGGAACAAAGGGCTTCAGTGGGACGCCTCCATTGCACTCTCTTCTCTTCTGTCTTTTGAACCTCCCATTACGACTGCCCATAAGCTTTCATTTCTTCCTCCCATCATCTCCTCCATATCAACCTCACCTGGGATGCCAAACTCGTCGTTTCCCCTTTGGATTCCACTCGAAGGCCTGGCCTGGTGCGTGATATCCCCAATTGACCTTCTCAGTGTATGCCCAATCCAATCAATCTCCACTTTCTCCTGCATATTTGTTGGGTGATAGGTTCTTGATTGGTTTGTTGCCAGAGTTCTTTGTTGCTTATTCTTTATGGTCATCTGATCTTCAGCATCGAGTAAGAGTAGACAGTTGTTGATGAATGTCTGTAGTTTGTTGGAAATGCTTTTGGTGACACATAATGTTTCTGAACCATACAGAAGCACTGACTTGACATTGGTGTTGCAGATTCGTTTCTTGTTCCTTGTGCCTACTGCAGAAGAAATCCACACTGTTTTCAGATTAGTGAAAGCCTGTCTTGCTTTTCCGATCCTAGTTTTGACATCCCAGAGTGCTTCTCAACTCATGATGAGTTATCTTCTTGTGTTGTCTCCTCCCAGTTTGGTATTCATGTCACCCATTAGAATTTCCATGTCGCCAACTCCAGTCTTGTCTAGTACTGATTCCAGTTGTCTACAGAATTCCTCCTTCTTCTCTTCATCTGCATTATTTGTTGCCGCATAGAGTAGCATTGTATGATTGTCAATTCCCTTCCTTCTCAGTTGAATCCATCTTGCTGTCATGATCCTGGAGGAGGAGATTCGTGAACAATAAATAACCAAAAATTTTTTTTAGAAGGGATTCAACAGTTGTTTCTAGGGAGACAAGGTTATTGTGTAGTAATAAAATCCATAAGGAGAAAATACAACCTAAACATAGTGAAAGGCAGTTAGTAGTTTCGGAAAAGTTGTAGTAAGAAATTAATAATAAGAAGGTAAATAAGACAACTGATGGTTAAATTTGAGTTTCAACGCCTCTGCTATACGAAACGTACTCAACAACCTGTGCATATTTTTGCAGCGGGTAGTAAGTCATACCCTATTGTGTAAGGGCTAACGACACTACCTAGACCCCGGTAGATGGAGCGTGGCATTGCATAGGATATTTAATAGAAATTCGGATGAAGTACTGTGATAAAAGTCGACTGGATGGACAATTAGGATAGTGTTCGTAGATACATTTGGAAAAGATGCATTTTGCCTATCGTATATAACTAGCTTCACAGCAATAGTAGTTAAATTGAAAAAAGATTCACAGTAGTTGACTGAAATCCTTCAGTCAGTCTGAAACCGGATTACTATAGTACACTTAACTTCATTGCTTTCATAAAACCCTGGATATTACTTCACTGAACCCATCTCCTATATAGAAATCTCAACATATAAAAGTCGATGCTAAAAACCACTAGCGAGAATTCGCTTCACTGACTGTCTTTTTTTTTTAACTTGTATTACTATTATTGATAGATGATGGCTAGCAGTGGAGTCCATGAGGGGTGTTTCATCCTATTTGAGACTCATCAACTGGATGAACTTGCCTTTCACTGAGCGATGTTGTCCTCACTAGGACTAGGGACCGATCACTTCAAACATCAAATCGTTATCCACTTGGCTATCAAGTCACGAAACAAGTAACATCATTTTTTTAAAAATTATTTTTTAAGCATAAAAAAAATCAATTCTAGAGTTCTTTCATAGTTAATAAAGTACCAAAAAAACACAGAAGAAAAAAAAAACGCTGAACGACTGTAGGTCAATCGTAAATAACTGAGATTCCTCTTACATACGATACAGCTGTTGTTACTACTGTAAAGTACTACTTATTTAAGGTTAGTAAATTTATCCTCTTTATATTTTGTAGTTGCATTCCAATGCCTATAATAAATATTCAACCAATATATTTTATGAAATCATAGAAATAATAATTAAAAAGGACAAATGAAAAGAAAACAAAAAAAACAAGCAATACAAAATAATTAAAAATGAGATTCAATTAGAATACCTGACAAAAATTATAGAGTGTAAAGAATATAAACAAACATTGAACATGTTCAATTATGTAACTAATCTAATAAGATTATCACAATTTATTAGTTCAAAGAAGAACCATTTGAAGGAAGATCTATGCATACATTATGAATTATACATATATATATATATATATATATATATATATATATATATATATATATATATATATATATATATATATATATAAAATGAGTGTAAAAAATCGAGGGGACAGAAACATCGCTGTTTATGATGAGAATAGGATTATAATACGATTATTCCCTGAGAATAACGTTATCATATATATCCTGGATTATACAACAATCTAAGTCACCAAACTAATCTGAGTTTGTCCATCTTCTTCTTGAACTAAAATAAAAGAGAAAGAGGCGAAAATTATTATTCACTAATTAATTTCACTCGAACCATATCTCTATATGTTCCTATCAAGATTTGATAGGAAAGGGATAGAGAATGATAAGTTACTGTTTCTCAAAGTATTTTGTGTAAGTGAATCAAGGATACATCTTTCTTCTCTACAGTTGTCTCACTAACCGTTAACACTTTTGCCACAGTTTCCGTGAAAATTGTAAATAGCTTTCTACGATTGCCTATCATTCCTGCCTTTTCCATTTCTTTACCTTTCGCTGCTCACAACTGCTAGAGGTAATTGAGAAAATTTCGTGTCAGTCTACATTACAATGACTTCTGCTATTAATTTTTAGAGTCTAAGAGTCGCCTAAGGTCTTACACGCTGGTTTTACAGCAGACTAATACCAAGCCTCTTCTAGATGAGTGATGTTGTTCTGTTCTTATAACTATCTAACCAGTTTCTTGCAGAAAGCATCCATAGACAGACAGACAAAATTAACGTAGAACCTCGCACACAAGTACATCAGTTCAAGTTGCTACACTTCACAGCAGCATACGAAGAATAGGTGGATAGAATAAAAGTGTTATCAAAGTAGACAGAGTTGCCTGCCTTGATTAGTACCCTTCGCCTAACCTCTACATTGTTAACATGCTGATTCCACCAAACGGGAGAAATGCTACGAGGGCACCTATAATCAAAACCCGTTCGGGCTGACGCAACTTCCCAAGTAAGTGAAGTGGTCACCCCGTTCAACCACTTCACTCCCTATCATTAAATTAAGTGTGGTTGTAGACCAGTCCTGGAGCATCATCTTACATTTGATAGGTCCGAAACGCATGCCAAAATATGCACAGATTTCTACTCAGCGTCTTCGCCTAACATGACAACGTCTTCTGCGTAGCCCAAGTCGACGAGACGACCCCCAGGGAGTAGATCAATTCCTTTGAAGTCAAACGTTCCCAAGGTTATGCCCATTAGTACGTCTATGGCAAAGTTGGACAGGAACAGTGATAGTGGGCATCATCAATTCTAAAGACAACTCTGCATAGACCCCTACAAAGTTGCGTGAGTTTCAGTACAGAGCTCTGATTGGCGTTCTATACTTACTCGGTACTCCTTTCGCAGTCAGACTCTACGAAAACACGTCACAGTTGGTAGAGTCGAATGTAGCCCTCAGTTTGAAAACCATGGCAAGTGCCAGGATGCATGCCTATGTCCAAGAACCAGTCAAAGGGCGAAAATCTGTTTCAGTTCTGAAACCTGCCTGACTTTATTGAGTTTGCTGTTCTCAAGCTCCGAGCTAGGTGTCGGACAACTATGGACACATTATTAGTCAAACTAATTCCTCGATGGTTGTCACGAGATTTCTCTCCTTTTTTGTAGACTGGGACAATCAATGAAATAGACCAGTCCGACAGCAATACCTCCAATTCCTATACACTATGCAGTACCTCCGTCACTTTAAGCAGAAATTTCCTATCTCCATCATTGAAAATTTCGAGTGGTCGACTATCAGATCCTGCTGCTTAACATCGTTTCACGTTCCAGACAGTTTTCTCAACTTTAAGGAGAGTTGGAGGACCAGCGTCTACATCCTAATCAGCTTCAGGCTGCATGTTAGACATCATAGCGTTGCTGAAGTATGCTTTAAAATGTTCTGCCCAACGTTCTAGTGGTCTATCTCGAGAGGTTATCGGCATTCCATCCTTCTCGGTGATGCTTTCGTTCACCATTGTTTACTTGTTGCTGGTATCGTTAATAAGTCTAAACAGTTCCCGAATGCTACCCAACGCTGATGCCTTTTCCATCTTTCTCGCTCTCGGTATCCACGATTACCTGCGATCATTTCAAATACTCTTGGTCAATTTATATTGAAGTTGCTTTCGCTTCATTGTGGTCAGAACCAGCTGGAATCAGTCTTTTCGCATCAATCACTTCAGATGACGCTGCGGAAATCCAATGATGTTCGCTAAACTTCGGGTTACGAACTATTTTTACCGTTGTTTATACAGCAGACATAACCTCACGTCAGGTTTCCCCAGTATGAGCATTGCTGTTATGTTCACATAAATAATTAGCTACCTCTTCCGTAAATGCATACTTCACGTTCTCATTTACCGATCGACAATAGATAGGATTTACTGTCACCTGTTTCCTGCAACCAACCAACCATGTTCGAAGTCCAGACTGATGTTCAAGAATGAGCGATAATCCTCCACCGATCCTCTCCAACGATCGTTTATGATCTATATGTGTCTGTCGATGGTCTGATGTCGACGGACGCTATGTGAGACAGTGTCTATCCTTACGCTTGAAGTTAGTGCTAGCCAGAAAAAAGTGAGTGTCTGAGCAACATTGCAACAGACGATCCCCGCTGTTAGTTCGTTGTCAAGGGATTCCGCAAATATCCTCAAGAACCCATTCCGATTGGGTCAGCTTCCCTACTTTAGAGTTAAAGTCACCTGCTATTATGACTACATTTTAATGCCTTGCGAAATTGACAGATTCTTATAGAATTTATCCTTTGCATCATCACAACTGCAGTCAGCGGGTGCGTAGGAGGTGACTACGAATAAGAAACGGTCAATCTGTACTCGGAATGGTCTCGCTGTTGTAATTTCCCCACAATCATTAGGGGATAATGTACATGCGACTGTTGTCAAAATACGTGCTCCAAAAGGAGCGACAGGCATCCATGGCCCTCTCCAGAGACAACTGATAGGAATATAGTCTATGCGTGTTCACCGTTGACTTATGGATGGTATATGCCACGTCAGACATTGTCTGAAGCTAGAGCTGAAGAGAAAAAGATGGTTGTCTGAGCATAGTTGTAATAAGCAATCAATGTTATCTGTTTACTCAACTAGGATTCTCAAATTGCCACCTAATTACATTTCCAACTAACTTATTATTATTATTTGTCCGTTGGATTCCGAGTGAAACATAGGGCTTCAGTAGCACGTCACCACTTCAGCCCCTTCTCTCCAGTCTTTCATTTCTAACTCACACCATCTCCTCCATGTCAACCTCAGCTGGAACTCCCAACTCGTCTTTTCTCATGTGGGTCCTAATCGACGATCTGGCCATGCCTAGTCGCGTCATGTCCCCAATCGACCTTCTCATTATATTTCCAATCCAATCCAATCCAACTCCACGTTCTTCCCCTCCACATTTGTTGGGAGATGGGTTGTTGCTTCGTTGGTTGGTTGGTTCGTTGCCAGGTCAGTCAGAGTCAGTTACTCCTTGTTTATTCTCATTATTCTGGCCATCTGATCCGATTTGATCTGATCTGATCTACAGTATCGAGTGACCGCAGGCGACAGCTGTTCATGTATGACGTCTGTAGTTTGTTGGAAATGCTTTTCGCAACGCACCAAGTCTCTCAACCATCACATGGAAGCATTGACCTACTTGACTGAATTAGTGTTGAAAGTCCGGATATTGTTCACGCTAAATGCTGAGTGCAGTGCAGTACAGTGCAGTAGATCTCCACACTAATTTCAGGTTAATGAAGGGATGCCTGTCTTGCTGTCTTTCCGATGCTGGCTGGCTGACTGACTGACGTCCTCATCTGTGCCTGTGCTTGTGGCTGTGCCTGTGCCGCCGTGTGTAGTTGAGACGATGCTGCCTGTCTAGGTAGGTGGTAGGTGGTAGGTAGAAGAGACTACTTCCTTTAAGTTTCTCCCGTTCATGGTGATTGGTGCTTGTTGTTGTCGTTGTCGTCGTTGGTTGGGTATCTTCATCACCTGTACCTTCTCTACGTTCACCTGAAGGAAGTCCCAACTTCCTTCGCTGCCCTGCCTCTTCTGTCAACTTGTTGGTTTTCGTCTGTAAATCTTCGAGTTTGTGCGACATAAGACATTAAACATAAATCATCATCAGTGAAATCCATATCTTTTAGGGTCTTTCAATCAGTCAAACAGCCTATGTCCATCTCCTCATTGGTTGCAGCATAATCCAGTCCAGTCGAGTTCAGTCGACCACAAGGAGGAAGATCATGGGTGATAGTAGGCGGCAGTCTTGTCTTACTCCTGTCTTCACTTCAAAGCCATCGCTGAGCTTTCCATTGTGAATCACTTGGCATGTGGCGTCGCCATATTGCTGTTGAATAAGATTGACAAAGTTTAGTGGTAGTCCGTAGTGTTGAAGCAACTGCCAAATTACTTGTCGGTCGATGTTGTCGAAGGAATTTTCGAAACCGACGAAGTTGAGGTAGAGAGTTGGCTGTCATTCTATGCTTTATTCTATGATGCATAGCGTAGCGCTGCGTTGCAATTTGATCTGCACATGATTTGTTCTTCCTGAAGCCAGCCAGCCAGCCAATCTGTTTCGGTGGTAATTTTGAATGGAAAGCACTTTCTGTTTAGCCTCTCCAGGATGATACGGCTTGATATTTTGCTTGGTGTGGACAGGAATGGACCAGAATTCCGCGCCAGTTGCTGCAATGACTTAGGTCGCCGACTTTTCTCTGGGAGTTTGACAAGGTAGCCCGTCTTCCAATCAATGGGCAGGTACCTTTTCTCCCTTCCTTCCTTGCAAACCTTCCACAATAGTGGTGTCAGCATGTCCTCTGCTGATGTCTCTGCGTCTGTTTTCAGTGGTTCTGGAGGAATTCCATTTAGTCCTTTTGTTTTCCCAGACTTCAAAAGCTTATGGCGTTAAAAACTTCACTTCTGCTTTTGTCAGAGGGCTTGTGTTGACTGGTAGTTCTTTGGCTGGCTTGCTGGTGGTATTTCTGGAGGAGTTGCAGGTAGTGGCGGTGGTCGATTCAACAGTTTTTTGAAGTGGTCAGCTAATTCTTTTCTTTCTTTCTCCTCTTTGCTAAATAGGTTTCCTTCACTATCTTCCATTGGTTTCATCTGAGTTGATCTCTCCCCTCCCAGATAGTAACCTGGTTATTTGATGTAATGTTGTCAGGCCTCTGTCTTTCCTACCTGCAGCCTGTCTGTTCTGCTTCACTTGCAAGTGTGTCGTAGAAGTGTCTTTTGTCTTTGCGTGCACTCTTCACTTCTTTGTCCAGTGTTTTATAGGTTGTGTTCATTTCCTGTTTTTGTTGTTCATCCCTGCGTTTATTGGCTCATCTTCTGCTTCACCATCTTCCTCTCCCTTCTCTGTCAGCTTCCATGTATCCGTAGAGATTCATTTCTTCCCCTGCTTCTTCTTCCTTCCTAACACGGTTATGCAGGTTTCCTTCCACATCTCTTCGGTAGAGTTCTAGCGTTCTTATATGAAGGTTTCTTCAGGGACGATGCCCTAATGTTTTCCATTTTTTCTTGATGGCTGACGTGAAAACGTCCTTTGTAGTTTCACCCTTCAGTTTCTGTTCTGGGTGTTAAACTTGAACTGTGGTCTATCAGCAGCTTCTCTGAAGGCTTTCAACTTGGTTTTGAAGGTTATTTGCACTACATAGTAAGTGATGTGAACCTACATCTGCTCCTCCTCTTGATCTTGTATCCAGTAGGCTACGTCTCCACTTTCTTCACATTGAGATGAAGTCGATCTGATTTTTAGTGTAGTGTGTCCATCTAGTGAAATCCATAACGCTTGCTCCGTGGATATCCTTGTGTTTGTACACACTGCCTCCAATCACCAAATCGTTGAAGGCGCAGAGGTGTGCAAATAGTTCTCCATTCTCATTTATTTCACCGAGTGCCTCTCGACCCATCATGAGTTCTCTGCTTGTGTTGTCTCCTCCCAGTTTGGCATTCATGTCACCCATTAGAATTTCCATGTCGCCAACTCCAGTCTTGTCTACTACTGATTCCAGTTGTCTATAGAATTCCTCCTTCTTCTCTTCATCCGCATTATTTGTTGGCGCATGGAGTAGCATTGTATGATTGTCAATTCCCTTCCTTCTCAGTTGAATCCATCTTGCTGTCATGATCCTGGAGGAGGAGATTCGTTCCCACTGTATGAGAGACTTCGATGTTCTTGGGGACATCATGATGACCACTCCAAAACTCAGTGTGCTCGTGGTTGTCATCTGGGTGACAGTATCAGAGTAGGGTTGATTATTGACTCTCCAGTTGACAGTTGGGAGAGTCTACTTCCATTCCATCTGCTGATTCCTCGCAGATTCCAAGCACTTCCATGCCATACCTCCTCATCTCTTTTGCAAATTTGGACAGCCTTGCTAGGTTCATACAGTGTGCGGACATTCCATGTCCATGTGCTTTGAAGTTTCTTTAGCGATTGGATTGGTTTTACGAGTTAGGGTTGCCAGCGCTATGCCCGGGCTTAGGACTGGCTAGTAACTAGTGTACTAGTTAACCTAACTTAGTCTACCAGTTTTTGCGTTGAAATCATTTACTATTACTACCATATCTGAACGTTTGGTTTTTAGTAGGAGTTTAATTAGTTTTCGGTAGTACTCTTCCTTCACTACTTTCGAACTGAAGTCAATCGGTGCTTAAAGAAAGGTTACAAACAGCGAGTTTCACTTCTTTCCAATCCCCACTACGCTACTCAGTTGATAAGAGTACAAGGGACTGGTAACTAGGATTTAGTAGGACAGTGAAATTTCTACTCTAGGAATTATTGCTATACTTAAACCTGCAAGACCGTAGGGATTTGACACTGAATTGCTAGAAACTCAAAGGATAAACTTTAAACTTCAATGTCAAGGATCGTTCACTTCCTTGTAAATAGAATGAAGTAACAAAACGATAAAATGTTTTGTGACAAATAAGTACGTGCATATTGTGATAGCATATAATATGGTGCTTTTGCTGTTTTCTGCTGCTATGTAGAAGGGTGGTTGCTATTGACTGATTCCTATTAGGCAATCCTGAAGATTTTCAGGTAATTTTCAGCTTTTCAAGGAACTAAGAGGTAATGATGCACTTTATGACACAAATATATCAATGTACAATAAGCGAAAACAATGTGATGAAAATATTCTTTCTGAAACTCTATGTGTCTATGTACACCATAAACATTCGTAGTGAAACACCTTTAAAAATCTACTATGCTCAAATTAGCACCTTTTTATGAATACCTTTTTAAATCTTACTATAAAAACGTTAAGATTTAGAAAGAAAAACCCACTTGTAACATCAGTATACTCATGATTTTCATGTGTTTCTCTTGCACGCTGAGCATAAGAACGCATAAAGAAAGCTTCAATAGTAGCTGGAGTTCGTCCTTTTGTTTCAGGCAGATATCGAATAATAAATATCAAGACAACTGTTAGAGCACAAATGAACGGCATGAAGGCATAAATACCGATATGAAGCTGGAAGGAAAAAAAATGGAATAAGACACTTGTCAAAAAAATGAACGCTGTTTACCATATTCTTTAAACAAGAATAATCGTAAGTATCAAGTACCCAGATATATCCAAGAAAGTATATTGTATAACATTGCAACTCTATAGCTTTGAAAATGAAATCGTGGTTTCTTTCTCTTCATTTTATAGCTTAATAAAGATTTTTCGTAAATCAAATGATCAGATAAGAAATTCTGGTATATTCTTGGCATTTATTTTTACTCAGCAACTAAAGTCTATTAGGATAGTTCAAGGAACTCATGTAATAGTTGAACATCAACGATTTTCATCTGATGACTAGTTTACAGATAATGTGTAACGTTATGTTAATAGAAAATATCAAAAAATTAGCGTAGCTTTATCACAGTTAACATGAAAGCTGGAGATGTGATAATTATGAATTAGATAATAATGTATTTTTGAGATGAATGGGGATTTTTTTTTAATTTAGAAGTAGTATTCATCATGGACTGACATCAGTTAGGGAATCATTGAAAATCTGGGAGCACTGAACAGCTGTTTCGTCCTAGTATGGGACTCCTCAGCAATATGCACCCACGACCCAGCTAGAGATGGAATCCAGGACCTTCAGGCTTCATGGCCCCTAGCCAGGCCGTGGGTGCGTACTGCTGAGGAGCCCCATACTAGGACAAAACAGCTGTCCAGTGCTCCCAGATTTTCAATGGTTCCCCAACTGATGTCAATCCATGATGAATACTACTCCTAAATTAGACAGTAGTTAAATTCGTACATTAGGTAAAAGTACTGGAGAAAGCTCTGAGAAATAAGATAGGTTTTAGAGGATACTACCTAGCATAACTAAACGATAGCTTCGTTTAGTAAATACAGCATAAACAAGAGTAACCAATTATCTGACACACTGAAAACCTTCAGTATAGTGTTTGTGTTTAAGAAAAATTACAAATAGAGCACGACCCTAACAGTATTTAGACTGGAAGAAAGCAGAGGTATAGTAGGTAACCGATTCAAGCACTCGACTGACAACCACTGGGTTACAGATTTGAATCCTGTCTCACCTACCAACAACAATGAACGGTGATAGGTCGTAAGGAGTGATGGACACACCTAAATGATATATAAAAGAAGTCAGTGACTACTTGGAAATCAGTCAAACTAGGTTATGAACGCCAAATCTATTGCATTAGAGTTATTGATGCTACCCAGTTACTTTGATCTCTGTAAGTATAGCGAAAATCGAATCCGTGACCCCCAACTACTTGATATTTTGGGAATCCCTGTGTTGTTTACAACAATATCAGTCGTTTGCAACACTGTAGTTCGCTCCGTTCGACCGTGTAGTTGTGAAACATGATCGTTAAAAGTAAAAGACATGAAAAAGCTTCTGGTGTGTGACCACCGTTGCCTTCGGAACATGTATCGTGCTGTCACTGAGTCAGTAATGTAGAATTCAGGTGTAGATTCCTAGGAAAGAGACGAAAGTCAGTTCATGACGTTGTTAAAATTCATCGATTGAACGCATGTCTAATCACCATCTTACTCATCATGCAATGTTAGCTGAAGTAGGTTTAGGTTAGAGACGAATAAGGTTTGGAGAGACTAGACTAAAACATGGTATCACGGCATCAAGTCTTTAACTGTTGCTTTGAGCCATGTTGTAAGATGCAGATTAGCCAGTCGGGGGTCCATGTAACAACAAAGACCAGTGGTTGGAGAATCTAGGTGATATGGTTCAGAATCTATCTGTATGGTGCACATAAATTCACATATTGTCTTCATTTTTAATTATCGTACTAAACTCACTGATTTCGCATTCCTTCTTCTTATGTTGTCACGATTTCCTGCCACTCTCACTACTTTCATCTTAACCTCTTCACTTTTCATCTTAGTGCTTTCCCGCTTGATTTGCTGTTATGCGGTTATGCATTAATGCCTGGTCCTATATTGATGAAGATGAATGATAAACCTGGTTGCCTAAAGCTTAGTAGTTAAATGCAGGTGACACTAAGCCAGGTTGAACACCATTTTCAGTCAGACGAACACAAATATGAAAGTGTGGAATAAGGTTGAAAAAGAGGATATCCACTGGATACTGTAACCACTGCTGCTAACCATCCTAATTTGTAGGGCACTTCAAAGTCAACCATCACATCACAGGCAAAAGTCTAACTTAGTTGCACTGGAATATGAACAACAGATGTAGTATCATTTCAGATTACTGCACAAATGTATATTTAGGCTTATGAATAGTTGTATCAGCCCGAACACGCTGGTCTCTGGCGAAATATCAGCTCGGATACAGAAGGCTTGTTTGGCACTTGCCAATTTTCGTCATCTCTGGCGCCGGCTGGCAACATATCCGACTATCTATCAAGGGACAAGTATCCTATGCTTCAGTTCATCCTGTCCTAGTGTACGGCTGTGAGACATGGCCGCTGGAAGTAGAAAACATGAAGCAATTATACAATTCTGATCATGGGTTTCTTCGTGGCATTACTCGCGTGTGGCGAGATCGCCCTGTGAACAATACTGACTTTTAATAAATCCTGAAGGGTAGTTATTAAGAAGCAGTGTCTCTTTGGTGTGCTTATGACTTATAGTAGCACTATACAGTGGATTGGAAAGGGTGACAATTCTGAAATCCAATATCTCTGTCAAGGTGGAGGGAGAGATTGATCACAGAATCTGTCCACTGAATCAACACCTAACACACATGCCTTGATATAAAATACTTGTTAACTGCAGAAAAGATAAACACTACTATCGTTTTCAGACCATAGATATTTTATACTGTCACCAACCACCGATTATAGTATACTTTTGAACTTTAACCAGGATGGTTATATATTTCTCCATACTGCTTAGACTAAGTAATAATTCCCAGTTGTTGTACATGTGATTGTCTTAGGCTTCAAATAAAGACACTTTAGCTGGATATAGAAATAACCTTGAAACAAAAGCTTCAACAGCTTAAACATATTCTACGAATATCATCCAAGTGGCTTCTATACCGTTCAATATTTCCCAGCTTTGGAACAGGTTGGAAAAAGTGGAAGTGATCAGTATAACATTTTGGAAAACAAGCTGGGAGGAAAATACTTATACATACGCCTATCTTTAAATTAAGCTTACACCAAGCACAATAATTTACCCAACACTTGACCTTTCTTTGTTATGTTTCAGTTTTATTTTAGGATATGTCAGTAGTACATACCCATGACCACATACATTTAGGACGCTCTTGTTTTACAGTTCTCAGATTTCGTCAATAAACGATGTGATGAAACCACTACCCAGTGTCAACGGTGACAGCCCATATCCAACACAGATTATGGTACATTGCTGAAAAGTGCCAAACTAGAAACAGACAGATATATATATATATATATATATATATATATATATCTTGTTTTCTGGTTCTCAACCATTTTTTATATGTTAATTTGTGGTTTAACTACCTAGAAACTAATTAATTTTCCGTAAATTCTAGGCAGCTTGCTTGAACTTTGAGTTACTTAACTTTCCCATGGAATAACATTGTATTGAATTTCTTCTTTCTACATTGTTTTAAAGATTCAGTTATATCCTCTAATCGTATTTATATACCCAAACGCATTATTAAAACCATTTCAATCTATCGCTTCACAAGTTGTGAGGGAAATCAAGAAAAAGGTACCATGGTCAGTCACAAAGGGTTCTTAAGCGCAAAACCATAGATCAGATGACTATTCCGGAAATACTTAGCATAAACTCTAGATCCTTACCGAAAAAAGTTGATTACCTTCAGTCACTTTTATCGATAAATATTTATCGTAATACGGGAGTAATGACACTCCAGGAAACATGGCTTTATAATCTGTATGATCTAGCTTTTTTAAATGATTTCAACAAGATAGATGTATTTCTAAGAAGTGTGGTGAGGATTTAGCAACATACATCAATACAATTTGATCAACCTCTAATTATGTATGCTTTAGATTCTCCAATTACAAAATTACCTGTCCTACTACTAAATATCTTCCTAGACATGTGAGTGAATACAAACGTATTTGCATAACATTTATGTCACACCTGACTGCATTTTCTCAGATTTATCAACTTTTGCTGATGAATTCACTGAATATGCCTCTTCTATTCTGAGGAACTCTTTGCTCATAATCTGTGAAGATTTTAATTCATGTGACTGCAGTTAACTTAATAGCCTTTCTACTCATCTCGACGAAACATTAGATTTAATGTTTAAAAATGACTCCGGCATATGCGAAGTCCGTCAAAGGGCTTCGCTGCTAAATTATGACCACTGTATTAAACCTGTTTTATCCTAGATGTATGGCAGATTGTATAAGTAGGCATTTGGATACCTTTCCAAAAAATGTCCAGCACAGAGGCTATTCAAAGGACAATACGCCGCGTCTGAGATGTTAAAAGAAACAAACTGAAATATATTTGCTGATGTTTTGGATAACAATATCACCAATGTTACGAGTAATCTCAGATTCTGTCTTAACATATGCTGTCCTGGTCAAGTAATGCTCATGAAATTTGACAGACTTAAGTCTGAAATGCAATGTCTAAATACGACATGTAGCCAAATTTTTCTGTCGTGAAAGAACGAATCCAACGTTTGGAAATTACCCAAAGAACTTACTAGTAGAAAACAGAAAACTCAAGAAGCTGTTTTTGACATATTTGCATCAAACAATTCGGCAAACTGATTTTATACTTCTTTGTGTTTACAGTCAAATAGAGAGTTATTTTCTGGGTTGCAATACAAATTTTTTCAAATGTCTCAAATCTCTGAAACCATCAAAAAGCCTAGGGTCCTGATGGTGCTTCAAGTATTATCGTTAGAAAATGTGCAGATATCCTGCCATCCCCTTACAAATATCCTTAATGCATCATTTTCAAGAAGTACAATACCCGCTGCTTGGAAGGAGATTAAAGTTATACCTGTACCTAAGTCAGCTTCTGGATCAGATGTAAAATTT